AACTGCAATGTTTTAAATATTGTTTTTTTTTTTTTTTTTTTTTAAAGAAAAAAAAAATTTACAGTTTATACTGATTTGCATTTTTTCAGTGTTTGACAAAAATATCCACATTTAACTTTTTTACCTATGAGGTGGTCTGAATTTTCTGAAATTAGGAGTTTTAATCATTGCATTTGATTTATTTGCATTAATTTCCACCCACCATTTTGTTTTTCACAAATTTTTTCTGTGAAAACAAATATCCTCAGGTATCTATCGTATTCCAGAACAACATTACAAAAAGACACGACAGATGTCTGGAAATGGTTATACGGTATACAGTCAAAATTTAAAATAAAAAAAAAAAAATACAAAAAAAAAAAAAAACAGAAATTAATTCAAAATGTTCCCAAACTAAGTTAACATATATTTTTGACTTTGATAGTTAAAACTAAAATTTAAATTTTTTCTGACTTCAGTGGATAAGATAACTTTACTGTGGTATTCTAAACCATAAAAACATTTGTAAATATTTGGTAATATATTTTTTCTAATGCTGGTAGTTTATATAATTTTTATTTTATTTACACCATTTATAATTTTGGACCATTGTCCTCACCGTTTGTCGTCATATTCACAAAATTCCGCCTGTTGTATGTTCAAGCCTTCTTCAGGATCTGTCTATATTTCTGAGATGAGGTATTATGTACACTATTTACATTGTTCAGACTGTTGTCCTCATCTTTGATGTCATATTCATGTTTTGAACATTGTACTCTCTGGCCGTCTTCAGGTGATTGGAATTTCAAACTGAACCCTTTATTTCATCCACTGAGGTAGATTGTTCTAGTTCCACATGCCATGCCTCTTCTGGATATCTCGATTTCAGTTTCAGTTATTTGCCTTTAGTAACTCAACTCTCTAAATTCTTTTGTTTGCCTCTGCTGTGACCAGGTATTGAACTCACAATTCTTGGATCAAGTCACTGGTTTATTTCAACCAATGCTTTTAATCCAAAAATTCAAAATTCCAGTAACCTGAAGAAGGTTGGAGTGTACAATGGCCGAAATGTTGTGAATATGACAATAAAGATGAGGACAACAGTTCAAACAGTGTAAATAGTTAATCGCAGGAATATAGACAGGATTTTTTTATTATCATCATCATTATTAAGAATAATTTGACAATTTTTTTCTTCTATTTCTTCCTACCCACAAAACAATTTTTTTTGATCCAAGGAAAAAATAGTTGCATCATTCTGTACAAATTTATTCGGAATTTCAAAGTTTTGTAATATTTTCCCTGATAATTAAAGGAAAAAAAATGTCTTTAACACTATTTACTAGACACATGGTTGTGTAGGAAGACAACAACAGGAATGAAAGAGTTGATGAAATGGAATTGGTAAATACTGCTACAAAAAATTAATTCAAAGATGACCTAAGAATAATAACTAATATTTTAAATAAGATAAGCTCACTTATTATTCTAGATCTACGTTCAATAAGCAAAGTAGCAATAATTCAATAATGTTGATCAAAATGTTTTATGAATCCTGAAGTGTACACTATTTACATTATTTCGAACTATTGTCCTCATCATTGTTGCCATATTTATTACGTTTTGGCCATTGTACGCTCCGGCCTTCTTCAGGTGGTTGGAATGTCGAATTGAACCCTTTATTTCGTTCACTGGAGTAGACTGTTCTAGTTCCTCAAGGACACATGGCACAGTGGATAAAAGCATTAGTTAGATCCAGTGGCAAGACCCAAAGTTCAATACCTGGCAAAGGTGATGGAGAACTTGGAGAGGTGAATTAACAGGAGATAACTAATAACTGACATCCATTAAACATGGAACTGGAACAGTCTACCCCAGCAAGTGAAATAAAGGGTTCAGTTTGACATTCCAACCACCTAAAGAAGGCCAGAGCGTACAATTTGCCAAAACATTGTAATAAATATGGTGACAAAGATGTGGACAATAGTCCGAATAATGTAAATAATGTACGTAATAACTCATCTCAGAAATATAGACAGATACTGAAGTGTATTTGTCAACATATTTTGTTGAGATTACATCACTATTTCAGTAATGTTTGTTCCATTTAGTCAACTGTTTTTCAAGTCATTTGCTACCACTCCCCCAAAATCTCTTAAATACAAAATAATTATAGTAAAATTTCAAATACATTTTAAATGAAAAAAACATTTAAAAGTATATATGTATATATCTATTTTTTTTATTTATTAATCTGATAGATTTTAGCATTTAAACATTACTTTTTGTAGTTTGCCATATATTTGTAGACATTCCATTTCTAAAGGAAATGTCATATATTCAGGCCAGTAGAAGAAAATACATAAATATGCTATTTAATAAATAAACTAAATAAAATTTAATAAATTTGTTCACTGGCCTGAATATACATTTTCTTTAGAAATGGAATGTCTACTAATATATGGCAAACTACTAAAAGTAATGTTTAAATGCTAAAATCTATCAGATTAATAAATAAAAAATAGGTTACTTTAGAAATATACGTATATACATCTGTCTATATTTCTGAGATGTGGTATTATGTACACTATTTACATTATTCGGACTATTGTCCTCATCTTTGTCGCCATATTTATTACAACATTACGGCCTTTCAGTATCTGTCTATATTTCTGAGATGAAGTATTATGTACACTATTTACATTATTCAGACTATTGTCCTCATCTTTGTTGCCATATTACAATGTTTACGGCCTTCTTCAGGTGGTTGGAATGTCGAACTGAACACTTTATTTCACTCACTGGAGTAGACCTTTCTAGTTCCACATGCCATGTTTAATGGATGTCAGTTATCAGTTATCTCCTGTTAATTCACCTCACCAAGTTAACCAGGTATTGAACTCACACTCTTTGGGTCCTGTCACTGGATCTAATTAACACCTTTATCCACTGTGTCATGACAGCAAATATCCTCAAGGACACATGGCACAGTGGATAAAGGCATTAGATCCAGTAACAGGACCCAAAGAGTGTGAGTTCAATACCTGGTTAAGGCAATAGAGAACTTGGAGAGGGGAATTAACAGGAAATAACTGATAACTGACATCCATTAAATATGGCACATGGAACTAGAACAGTCTATCCCAGTGAGCAAAATAAAGGGTTCAGTTTTACATTCCAACTACCTGAAGAAGGCCGGTGCGTACAACAGCCAAAACATTGTAATAAATATGGTGACAAAGATGAGGACCGAATAATGTTATTAGTATGTATATACATATCTCCAAGTCAGTAACAAGATTTTCCCATTTTTTATATTGTGCACATTGACATTGGGTAATGGTTAATGAGCTAGTCTGGTTGACCATTATTATTGTGTAGTGAGTTTGGTCCTCACTGGGTACCTCCATACTTGTAGCCATAAGATTAGTAAAGCAACTTCTCTCTGGGTAATTGTTAGCCAGCTAATCTAGCTGATCGTTACTACAGTGTAGTGAGTTTAACCCTCACTGGGTGTCCCGTCCTGGGTAAGACGATAAACTACATCCAGCAGCAAGGCCTCTGATCAGGAAGTTTTGAGGAGCATGGAACCACCTCTTAATTGTTGGTGTTCCTAGGTCCACCCTGACCTGGGATGGTAGCACCTGTTAGGGTCCCAACTATGGGCAAATAGTTATCTCCTAAATTGGGGTCAAAACACTATGAAAGTGTAAAAATAGGTCTTAATGCAGCCATTCTCAACCTTTCCTCCATCATTGACCCCCTCGGCTTTATGTATTTCTCCATTTACCCCCCCTACTCCCATACAAAAAATTCATAGCCATCATAAAGCATTGATGTACAATTTCGTGACTAAATGAATGAATGATTTTTTCATTCAAAATACTAAGGGTTTTTTTTTTTTTTTAGTCAATACTGTGCCTAAAAAATAATTCTAAGCGACACTCAAAATACTGATTTCTTATTTAGTACTAATCTACTAATTTATTAGTATAAGTTAGTACTCTGTATGAAATTCAGTATTTTTATTAACATTTGTAGTCATTAATAAAAATTATTCATTTTATCCGCTGTATCAGTAGATCTACAAATTAATACTAATCATTCATTCAAAAAAAAATTTTTTTTTAGTAATTTTGTTTTTGGCAATTTAAAAATTTTTGGAAAATACTAAAAAAAATTTTTTTTTTCAATGAATGATTATGATTAGTACTGACTAATTTGTGCCTAAAAATTGTGCAAATTAGTCATTAGTAAAAATACCAAAACAGAAATAAAAAATACTGACAAATACTAAAAATTAGTAAAAATTCAGTATTCTGATCAAAAAATTAGTAATCCACACACTTTCTTTGCATTCTCTCTCTCTCTCTCTCTCTCTCTCTCTCTCTCTCTCTCATATTTTACAAAATTAAATTTAATTGAATTATTTCTTAAATCATCAGGTACTTCAATTATTTCCCCCCGACTATAATTTTTTACCCCTGGTTGAGAACATCTGTCTTAATACCGGAAATACTTTGTAAAAGAAAAAAATTATTACCATCAGCAATACCTTTTAGGAAAAAAAAATTTACCAGCAATATTTTTGGGAAAAAAATATTATCAGAAATAGTGTTTTGTTTTTGAAGGAAAAATATCACTAGCAATACATGTTTGAAAAAAAACTAATATTACCAGCAATAAAAGTTTTTGTTGACATTAAATAACCCATTATGCCATAAACTAAACCAAACAAAACCAAACCTTACTGGGTGCCCCACACTTTTGACCTTGATTAATCTTGATAAATAGCCTCTGTGCTATTCAATTATTCCTATAAATGTTTTTCCAGAACCCAAATTGATTGTTGTCAGTATTTTTTCTGTTGTTGGCATTTTTTTTTTTTTTAATTTATTCTTTCTTTTTTTGCAAGTTTCACAAAAGCTTCTTGATGTTTTTATTTCTTCTCTTTTTATTTTTTTTGTAACAATTGTGTTATTCGCTCTAGCGTACACTTTCTTCTTTCTTTTGCATTTCAGTACGCTGACTGGTTCCACCGTGAACGTATGTCCGCGTCAAATAAGGTTGGATAAACGTATCTCGGCCAGCAGCCGTGCATGGTAGCTTAGTTGTGGAAATTTTGGACTGTGAACATGCAGCCCCTCCTCCTTAATTTGCCCCTCTGTGTTTTTATTTTTTTAAATTTTATTTTATTTTTTTTTTTTTTTTTTAATTAAATTAAAAAAAATTTTTTTTGTTAATTCTCCCCTTTTTGCCTGTTTATATTCATGTTGATGTTGGCGCAATGGGGGAGGGTGCATGGTAGCCATATTTTGTAACCTGAAATATACTCTTTAGTCGTTGGGTGGGAGGATTTATGGGTTAAAAAAAAACTAACTAAAAAAAAAAAACATAAAATTAAAAACCTATACACAGATTGGAATAAAATTATAAAAACTGGAATTCATGATTGTATGAGTTATCTCCCTTAAGACATTTCTGAGCCAAAATGGCCACCTGTACAGTCTTTTGTGTTAATCAAAAAAAGGACTCTTTAAAAACACTTATACCTTTTTTTTCTTTTTTTAAATTTTTTATTAAACCTTGTTTATTTGTGCAATGAGGCATTCAATTTTCTAATTCTAATAATTTAAAAAAGAAAAAAAGAAGTCTATCTTTGCTGTTTTTGTTTCACACGCCACACTTTTTCCTTTTAATCAACTGTGTAATAATATATTTGTTCTGTTCTTTAAGATAAAAAAAAATTGAGCAAATTTGTTGCACTTTATCGAATGATATTTGGAAACTGTGTAGTGACAGAAATATTAGCAGCACAGAAGAGAATTATATAGTCTTATGGAAAAAATTATATAGTCTTATGGAAAAAAAATAAAATAAAAAAAAAAAATTCTTTGATTGTTTTATGACTTTTTTTTCTTTTTGCCTTGTTTTCTTTTTTTGTTTGTTTTTAATTTTGAAATTTTAATTTTTTGTTTTTACACACCTAAATATAAAATCCCTTTTTGCTATTACAATTAAACACCAATGTCACAAAAATTCAGACAGTAATGTGTATATACTACCTGTTATTAGACCAAGGTGTGCATTATATATATATATATATATATATATATATATATTTGTGTATTTAGACAGCAAATTCTCTTTTAGGCATGTCTGATTGAATAAATTACAGACATTGTCTGCTAATTTTTAGTGAAATCTGTTCATGCTCATGAATAACCTTCCGTGTATTGATGTTACACAATGAGAGAAATGTGTTATAGCTGTTTAAATTTCTTTTATTTTCATTTCCCAAGTACTTTCGATTTTCTCCCACGCTCAGTACATTGTAAACCATTTTGCATTTAAAAGCATAATGGAAAAATTACGGTGGTAATGGATAACAACGCACAACTTTGTATAACTACTTATACTAATGAACAAGATATAGTTTTGTACTATTTGTACTCCTGAAGATGATTTTGGAAGAACATCGAAAGTACTTGGGAAATGAAAATAAAAGAAATTTAAACAGTTATAGCACATTTAACTATACAATCAATACACGGAAAGTTATTCGTGAGTATGAATGGATTTTATTAAAAATTAGCAGACATAATGTCTGTAATTTATTCAATCAGACATGTCTAAAAGAGAATTTGCTGACAAAATACACAAATTTGAATATATATATATATATATATATATAATGATATATTTGGTAATCTGTATGTATTACTTGATACTGCCCTACCCCAAGATGATCTTGGAAAAAAGGTCAAAAGTACTTGGGAAATGAAAATAAAAGAATTTTAAACAGCTATAGCACATTTCTCTCATCCTTTAACATCAATACACTGAAGGTTATTCATGAGTATGAATGGATTTCACTAAAATTTCAGCAGAATTTCTGTGGGGGTCTGTTCTGATTTATATTTCCAAATTACAAACATTTTGAGCACCTGAAAAAACAAAACACAAACTGCCATTTCTAAACACACACACACACATATATATATATATATATATATATATATATATATATATATATATAAATATATTTCTAAATTGTGGCATACAAGTAGTTTCAAGCCTAAAATAGTCTTTTGGGGACACTGGTAGCCGATCATATATTTGTGGGGTTGACCTATATGGTAAGTATAGACCTAACACAGAATTTTGACCTAAAAATCTTAACGTTGACTTGTACTCCACAATTTACAGTGTGTGTGTAAATATATAGCTCATTTTATCCTCGACTAAAAACTATCGATATTCCTAAAAAAAAAAAAAAAAGTTAGATTCCATGAATATTCCCAGAGAATTCCATGGAATTTGAATGAGAATAATATGAATTTGAAAAACTTGAATTCTTTCTTAGAATTTTTGGGTACAACAGGTTAATGGTATTCAATTCTTTATTTCAGAATTAATTTTTTTTTTTTTTTTTTTTTTTTTCTAAATGTGTCTGTTTGAGGGGGTGGACGTTTTTGGTGCTTAACAAATTGGTTTCATGAGATTTCTCTCTCTCTTTCTCTCACCTTATTTTTCCTTGTGTGTGACTTCCCCACAGCATGCAGCACACCAGTGGATGGCACACTCGAATGGCGTGACTACCAAAGCCTATACACAAACGGCTGCTTATTGGGTAAAATGTCATTCTCCTTTTTACTAAAACCCTACCCCCTCACTCATTCACGTCTTTATATGATAAAGATATTTTTTATTTATTTTTTTTTATTTCATTTTGATGTTTTAATTATTTTTCTTTATTTTTTCTTTTAGAAAAAAAAATTATTGTAATAATCATTTTTTACAGTTATGTGGGTGTGTGTATGTATGTATGTATAATTCTTATGTTAAAGATATATATATATATATATATATATATATTTTCTTTATTTGAATGTTTTAGTTACGTTTAACCCTTTTGATACCATTCTGGCTTTTGAAGTCTTTATAGCCATATACCTACTAGGGTAGGTGAATCAATAAGTTCGTAGCCTGATATATAGTTTTTGCTGAGTTTTGATCTAAAATTTTCATTGTTTGATGTTTAATGATACAAGTGGATTATGTTAAAAAAAATAAAGAAATGTTTTACTTTCAGCAAAAAAAAATTTTTATTATTAGGCTGCGGGCTTACTGTTAATATCTACCTATATAAACATGCAGTCTTTTTGTTGAATAAAATCAATGTCTCACGCTGAGACATTTCGGTGTTCAAGAATTTTAAAGCTTTTCTCATCTTCGTTTTCTGATTATTCTAATGTAATAATAAAATTCAAAATGTCCGCCTTGGTTTTTTCAAGGTTACTAGACATGTCATGCACGAAAATGACTTTAAATATATTTAATATATTAACAATGATGAGTGTTTATAGCTCAAATAAAATCCTTGAATAACATACTTTTTTTTTTTTCTCTAAACTATTTGGAGCTCATATTTATCATTATTTTTTTTTTTTTTTACTTTTTATCATTTCACCCCAAGCAAGGCAATAAAGCCACTAAGATGCAAGGGGTTACTGAGTGTGAGAGATATGAGGAAAAAAAAAACAAACTTATTAAGGAGAGAAAACAACAAAAGAACAAGAATTAAAAAGATAACAATTGACATTGATTTAAATTTTTGAAGATCAAAGTTGACTGGAAAGCAAGAAGCCAGAATAGAGTTCCACAAGTGAGAACTGTGAGAGAAGAAACTGTTAGCATAGAACTTACGGTTACATTTAGCCATTTCAACTGTAAAATGATGAGATCTTACCGTCAATCTAGTACTGTTCATCAGAACAGTTACCATGAAAGTATTTATAGAAAAGGCAGAGGGAAGCTAGATTAGAGCAGAGGGAAAGTGGAGCCGAGTTGCCAGATTAGGACTACTAATATTGTTGATTCTTTGGATTTTATCAAAAATCTCTAAATATATAGCAGGAACACCAGACCATATGTGGCTGCAATATTCAAGGCATGGACAATTGGCAGACTTATAGATATGTAAGATAGATTCTGGAGAGAAAAATTGTCTTGCACAACACAGTGAACCAACTTTCTTAGCATCTAACCTAGCAGTTGATTCTATATAATCTTTTCACTTCATATCGGTGGAAAAATGTTTTTCTAGCATAAAAAATCAGTTTGACTTAATGCTTAAACTTTGTGTGTTTCCATGTTTTAATCTTGTCACTCTTTGTCACTTCAAACATAGGTATGTGCATGTCTATCTGTTTGTGATCTCTCTGAACAATTTTATATTCAAATGTGTGGAAATGTTTGATATTGATGTCCGTTAGGCAAATGACTTTGATTATAGTCAAGGAAAATATTAGAAAATTGTAGGACAAAATTTTGTTTTATGAATCTTAAGTTTCTTAAAATCCCAAAAGCTATCTTTTTTTTTTTATTTTATTTACTTGTTTATTTTGCTTACAGACTAGTTACAGTTTGAACAAATCTTTTTTTTTTTTTTTTTTTTTTTCTCTAGTGTGCTGAAAAAATAATTTTTAGGTTAAGACAAAAGATACTTTCATTGAAAACCAAATTCACTATCAATGGCTTTTGGAATAACAGCACTGCATATAATTGGATATACTTTTCAAGAATTTTGGAAATGAAATATTGATTCTTACATTTTACCCATTTAGATTTCTTTTGAAAGATATTCAGTGCCAAAAATGGATTCAGTGCACCAGACAACATAGAAATAAAGGTCTAGATCATGATTTTCTGATGAATACAAGGAAAATCATGTCAAAAGCTGATATATGCTGACAAAAGGTAGCAATGAAAAATCACTTCACTAACTTTTCCAAGAACAATCATGATGATGCCAGTTTACATATATTAAAGTAAAAAGGAAGCTGTGGAGAGTCATGACATGTATATTCCAAAGCCACATGGAAGGTAAGAGTGAGAGAAACATGTTCAAATAGACAGGCAGCTAGTGTTGTGCTAATCTCACACTAGGCTTGCACAATATAGCCAAGGAGACATTTCTGGTTTTTAAATTCCCTGAATAATTTTCAGCTTATTTATGGAATTGTATTAATATTATTTGTACTTGAGAAGATGATTAAAACCAAAAAATAGG